TCGGCGGGGGGGGGGGGGGGGGGGGGGGGGGGCCTTCATCTTACATTCACATACAAGGAAACAACATTAAATAGGTTGTGGGTGCATCTACACATGCATTTACTCTGGCCTAAATCTATACTGGTGTAAACTAATCTAGTGTTATCCCTTTCAGGTAGGCACCTACACATTCAGAGATTAGGGAGAAGATTTTAACCCAGTTTCCTAAGCCCTGCAATGGGCCCCTGCTCCCACCGGGGGGGGGGGGGGGGGGATTCAGGCTCCCCGTGGGTACAAATCCAGGGGCTGCCAGGGAGCTCCTGGACAGGAGACGGCTGTCACCTGGCCCCAGGGGGCTACCTGTTGCCTAACCCTGGTGCCCTGACAAGGGGCAGGAGACTTGGAAAGAGCTGCACGGGAGGGACAGGTCCCAGCCCCCTGTCCTGATTCACTCTTGGGGCAGTGAACTAGCTGTCAGCTGCTCCATTGGCAGGTTGGGGCAAGGTGCTGGCACCTACCCCACCCCTGCTGCTCTTTCCAAGCCCCGTGCCTCAATCACCCAATTGGGGCATGGGGCTGAGACCTGCCCCTGACCACTGGGTGGGGGATGGAGGCTTGTTCCCCACTCAGCTCCGCAAGCATGGAGCTGAGGGGGGAACCAGCTGGGGAACTTGTTTCCTCTCTGCAGCTCCATAATTGCAGAGCTGGGCAGGGAACAGGGTCCCCAGCTCCTGCCACCAGGGAGCTTCCAGTGCCAGCTCCAGCACTGCAGGGATGCTGCTGGGACACCCTTATCTCCCAACAGTGACTCCATGGTTGAGGAGCTGCTGCTGGGAAATAAAGGTCTCCCAGTCACCCGCTCCCCAATTGCGATGCTAGAGCAGGGAAAATAAGATACATGGCAGTGCCCATTAAGTATAGTCCCCCTCAACACCAACTTTTCAAGTCATGGTAGACCCTACATTGAATACATTTCAACTTCCATTTCACTCCCACAGATGAGCTGCACCTTTATTTCCCATTTCCAATGATTCCTGTTTCTTCACCTTAAATCTCTAGCAAATATCACTAATGGCATCCCAAACAGTTTAACCAGAATGCCGCTGTTGCCCCCTACCTCAGCCTGTCACATATGATTAGTGTGGCCCTGCCCTCCATGGGCATGTCCACACATGCAAGCACATATACTTCCAGCAGCTCAAATAGAAACGGTCCAAGTTTGAGCCAGGACTTTTTGGCTCGGCACATGTGTGCGGACATGCACTTTGTTGTGGAGCAAATTGTGCCACTTGGGGCAAAATAACCTTGCCTGGCTCCTCCTAGATCTGCAGCCAGGGGGAGCTAGAGCCCAGGCCCAACTCTTTTCCTGTCCCTACCAGTATAAAAAACTGCCCTGTCCTGGCCCCAGCAGTATAAAAACATGCCCTGGCCAGCAGCTCAGGGTTACTTACCCTCAGGAGCTTCTGGGGCCCAGCCAATTGGTATTTAGGGACACTAGCCCCTTCTGTCAGCTAGACTGCTGAAACAGCATCCCAATTTCACTTTTTAAAATACCCCCAAATCCACATTATTAAACAATTAGAACAAAAGAGAGAAAGGGGGATTGATCAGATGGGCAATGTTTTATTGCTATATTTACAATGTTAAAGAAATTTGGAAGCCTACCAGTGTCTCTAGCATGATAATAAAATAAATCCTAAATATCTATATGTTTTAATGTTTGCTTTTGGTTTCCTTATCACATGATGGGTGTGTGATATGGGGATATGGAGTTTGCAGGAGAGAGTTGGAAGGGGGTTGGGGGGATGTGGGTGAGTGTGGAAGGATGTGGGGGGATGTGAGTCACTGTGTGGGTAGGTGTGGGGGGACTGTGGGTGTGGGAGCTGCTTAGGAGGGGTGGGTCCCCTGCATGAATACCATGTGCCCCCAGCGGATGGTGGGACATGGCAGCACTGGCGGCAGCAGGAGCGTGGCAATAGTGGTAAGCAGGGAGCTCCCTCAGATGCTGCTGGAGCCCTTTGCAGCAGGAGGAGGGGGGGCGAGTGGCGACCACCCACAGACACCGCG